TTTTTCTTTTTTGTATCCACGATTGAATTTTTGTTTTTTTTGTTTGTTTTTTTTGTAATCCATGATCGAATTTTATGTAATCCATGATCGAATTTTATGTAATCCATGATCGAATTTTTTGAAAATTTGTGATTTTTTTTTTTAATCCATGATCGAATTTTTTTTGTAATCCATGATAGAATTTTTTGAAAATTTGTGATTTTTTTTTTAATTCATGATCGATTTTTATGAAAATTTGTTATTTTTTTTTTTAATCCATATTATTCAAAGAGAAAATGAGAGAGATGATGATTTTGAGGCCACCCTATCCCAGCCATATTATTCACATATCGAGTCCCAACAGCAACAGTGTAGGGATGAGCACAAAATACTGTAAATTAAATGTTGAATGGCGGTTCATGCAGAGAAAGAACATATCAATATTCGCATATTCATTTAAAAACATGAAAATTCTTAATGGAGTACCCTCATTTTTTATTGAATTCCTAAAAAAAAATATTTATAATGAATTTTAATAATTTTTTCGAATTTTTTTTAAGCTTTATTCTGACCGATTCACCCGATTCTCGATCCGGATCGCCGATTTGCCGATCCGGATAGGTTTTTTAAAAACTCGATCCGAGTCACCGATCCGTTTTTTAAACCATTGGTTTTTTCCAATCAGAACCTCTTATCTTCTTTTTGTAACCCTTTGTTTTCAATCACAACCTCTCGTCTTTGGGAAAAGTTTATATAGAGCCAAGGCTCTAAACAATCAAATTAAAGCCTACCTAAAAAATTTCACTAGAAGAGGTTGTTTTGATGCTCAAATATCTTCAAATTGATCATCTCGACGCCAATAATTTGGATTTCAATAGCCCTTTATTTCTTTCATTTTTTTGCTCAGATCTGGCAAATAAAAAACACAATAGAGTCTAAATAAACCGTAAAAAATTAAAAAGATATCGATAGAGCTAGCATCTCTTGACATTCTTTATGTACAACAAAAGTAATCATCAATAGAAGAATCGCAAACCCGGTTCAGAGGATATAACTATGAATTACTATCCAACGGCTGTGGTCATGCATCTTCCCCATATAGTCTCATCACTAGTTTTGTAATAACCATTTGCAAGTTTTGCTATTGTAGTCCAGTGGTTAGGGTGATGTATTTTTAAGTGATCATGAATCCACAAGATTTGTGACATTTTTTTAACAACAAAGTTTATATTCAATGGTCGAAATAGAATTTAGAGCCATCATCGGGCTTCCATGCATGAAATGTTACAAGGTTTTCAGGTGAAGTTTTATCCTTTTTCATAAGGCCTAGGGCTAATAGAAACCTCATCCGTTAATCATAAGGCCTAGGGCTAATAGAAACCTCATCCGTTAATCATAAGGCCTAGGGCTAATAGAAACCTCATCCGTTAATCATAAGGCCTAGGGCTAATAGAAACCTCATCCGTTAAGTGATAATTTTTTTAATAAATAAGTTCAAATAGCATATAATTACAAGAAACAACAACCCATATTTCCCCATAATGAAATAACATTAAAACCCCAGGCTCAAACATTTCAAAGTAAAATAATGCAGAAAAAGTTTATATAAGGTTTTTTTTGGGTTTATATAAGGTTGACAACTTATATTATAGAACTAAGGTGCACCTCAAAAATCCATCGTAAAAGACTTTTTCACTTTGGAAAGCCATCTAATTGATCATCTCGACGTCGAGAGATATAGATATGGGAAAAAAATTCAAGTCTAATAAATAGTATATGTTTCAACATATTATCTAGACCGTCTGTTTTCAATATTTTCATGTGTTTATAGATCTACTTGAATTAAACCATTTTTTAAGTTCAATATTTTATTTTATAATTAGAGATAAAAATAGATTATTGGGCCATCCTAAGAATTTTCAGCGTCAAAATTGCATCTTATGATGAAGTTTGGAGCTGCATTTAGGGTTGGCAATGGGCCAGGTGGCCCGGCCCTAAAAGTAGGGCTTGGGCCACAAACTGTGGCCTGAGGGCCATACTAGGGCTGGTGCTGGCCCAACACCTTTATCATTTTTTTTTTATTTTTATTTTGTCTTCATTTGTTTTTGGCACATAGCAGACCTATTACGGCCAGGCGGGACTCCGACCGGCCCCATCGTGATGAGGGCCGTGCTCGAGCCCATCCCTGGCCTAGCCTATTGCCACCTTTAGGTGTGTCTTACTTTGATTATTTAAGGTCACAATATTATATAAACCACACCCTAATAATATACTACAATACTAACAAAAAGGAGAAAAATGCAGATAATCCAAGATAAATGTGGTTCCTTCCAACATATTCTAATTTTTAATAAAATGGGTTAAAAGACAGAGTTCTTGATCACAATTAAAAGACAGAGTTCATGGTAGGAATTGAGCCTACGACGTACACTAATTTTGCTTTGGATAAGGAAAAAATTTATATAAGGTTGCAACCTTAAAATTTAGAATCAAAGACGCACCTAAAAAATCCATAATAGGCGGTTTTTTGGATGTTGGAAAACTCTTTAATTGATCATCTCGACATTGAGATATATGAATATGAAAAGACAAAAGATTTCCAAACCGTCTTGTAAAAAAAAAGATTTTCAGTCGGTGAAATAGTGTATCTTACAACACATTATCTGGA